ATAAAGCAGGATCATGGATTTGTTAATTAAAATAAAATACCTCAGGGAAACTGAAATTAATTTTGATGTCCTAATAGAGTTACCATTATGTCATTAAATCTTGTGGATATCCTATCCATTTCTCTCATTTTTCTTCTCCCACAAAGTGAAAAATGTTTTCTTTACCTTGAATTTAGAATCAGAATATTGAATGGTGACTTTCTGAAGATGTGGAGGAGTTCAGCTGGTAATCTTGGGACAGCTGCACATTGTAATGACTGCCAGAAACTTATTGCACCTTAAGGCAATATCTTTCATGGATGGAAGGTGTCATCTGAAAGAAGATACTGGGGTCAGCTGGGTATGCCTGTGGTAGTGATTTAGTTTGTACACAGTTTTTTTAAGGGAATCTTTTTGTCATCCCCATTTACTGGGTTTGAGTGTAATTTTGGAGTTGTCCTGAAGTGTGCAGACTGATTCCTGTTGGGTGGGAGCAAATTAGATGACATGCTCCAGGAGCACACCAGAGGCCACCAACAGTGTTTCACCAAGTGCTACACAAGAGCAAAAGCCAGAGCCACGGAGAGTGGGTGAGTCCTCAGTGCCTGTCTTTCCTTTTTGTAGCTCTACTGCTGTTGCACTGTGCTGTTGGCTCATGTGGGCACAGCTCAGGCTGTCCAGATCTTGCCTAGCATTTTGGCAAGAGATCACACTGTTGATGTGACAGTTGATGCAAATATCGATTTCAATGTAAGTTATTTTTACAGAATGAAAAGCACTTTAAACATACTCAGTGTTTTCTGACACTCTGCCTTTCCAGTACATGTTCTTCCCATTCAGATTGTTTCAGAGCATAGAGAAAGGGAAGAGGAGAGGCCAGTATGAGAGTACTAGTTCTTCTACAGCAAAGCACAATTTTTTCTGATTATACTTAATGAATTTTCAAGGACAGCAAAGAAGTTCTGCACCATCACCAAGAATGTTAATTGCATGTGTATCCAATTCATTCAATACACTAGAAGACAGAAATAATCTTATGAATATACCAGTGTGTAACATTTGAGTATTTTATCTCATTTTAGGGCTGAGATAGGTAGGAAATACTTCGAGACAAGCACTAGATCTACTTGTTAGAGGTTGCTGAGCAGTTATAATTTTGTTAGTCTTGTGACAGCTTATGACTTCCCAGGAAGAATGCCTACTTCTTGCTTTCAGCCTGAAAAGTGTTCAAGGGAATCTGGTTACTTGTAAGAAAGGGCAAGATGGAATTCTCTTGCTGTTGAGGCTGTTTAATAAGCAAAAAGTTGAGATTGTTTGTGAATTTTAGTTGAATTGGTTTCAAGCAAAAATGAAAATAAAATCAGGTATAATTCACATCAGCTTATCAAAATAGAATTATCACAGTGCTGTGATAATAAGCAGAAAAGAGTCATAAAATGTGTTTCTTTCCAATGCAGAGTTAAAGCAGTAAACTTTCAATCTACCTCCAGAGTGCTCTGGCCACAGTGCTATAAAGTAATTCTCTCTGACACTCAAACTTATGAATGCTAAAGAATATTTACCTGGAGCAGAATGGTTTCAGGACATACTTCAAAAAATTCCTTCAGAGTGCTCATTAATTAGGGCAAATCCACTCAGAGGTGAAAGACCAGTTTCAAAATTTCCTCAAGAGCAAAGAGAAGGTTTGGTCCATGGTTTGGTGCCAGATACACTCTGATCTGGCACTCTGCTCCTTTTTGGCCATATTTTTGCTTAAATCACATTGGCCAGCCTACAGAAATCAACTTCTTCATGGTCACACTTCCTCTGCTTTTATCCTAAAGTCTGTTTAATCTGATTAAAATTGAAATTTTGGTCTGGGGTTGAATTCAGTACTTTGGACTAATCATTTCCTGCAGCTCACCAGCAGTGCCCACAGCCCCTTCTGTGCTTTATTTTAATGAGAACGAGATTTTACAGGTGATTTAAAACAAACAAAACCCAACACAACAAAAAACCACACATCCCAAAAAACCCTAACAAAACCAACAACCAAACACTTCCTTTCCCCAAAACAACCAACCAACCAAAATCCTCCCAAAGCCTCCTCCATCTGCTATGTCAGTTTCAGCATGGCAGCTGGTTTATGAATTTCCAGTTGATTGCTGTGTTTTGCTGACGCCTACATTTAGGCTCTGACCCATATCAATACTTGCTGGGAGTAACGTTAAAATTTCTGGCACCTATTCAGGACCCACACACCGTTTCTAAAGGCTTGACAGGTTTCTTTCTCAATCTTCCCTTAATCGTTTTAAGATTGCTATTCTGATCCCATTTCTGCCAGTTCTGTTAAATGCAAAACGAAGAGCAGACGGCTGAACCGTTGTTATTTTAAGAGCTGCGTTTTTTTATTTTATTATT